AGTTGTGTCTCTTTCATGAAAACCATATGAGTCTGGGAGAATAGTTAACCTATCTATATGCATTTAGTTTCGGAAATTAAATTTTACTGGACCTTTCTAATTGATAAACTTGCATTCACGGAAATGAAATATAAATTACGTCTAACCAACTCTAAAAACATATATTTACACTTAAAATTTTAACTCTCAAATAGGTAAAAATAGATAAAATAGATAAGTGGTTATCAATATTGATCAAACTTCCCAACCATAATCAAACCCAATCGGCAAATTACCCTATTTATACATATGATAATAGAAAACCAAATATAACTAACACGCAATGACTACATCATAAGTTACAAAATATTATTTTAACAACCTTATTTTTATGGTTCAGACGAAACTTTTATGGTTCATAGTGTAGGTAGTTAAATTTTAAATAATTGTGACGTTTCCAAAGTAATAAAACATTGATTTCAGATGGCTTTTACAACAGCTTTCGTCGTGGTGGCTGTTACCTTACTGTCACTTTTCGACGTAAGTATGGTACTTATTAGGTAAATTTTTGTAAACTAGCCATCTTAATATATACTACCCTCTACTTGTGGATTATTTATCCATGTGAATTATCAAAGTATTATCTTAAATGTATATACGAGTACGTATACGTACTGAGAAAATTAATATTGTTCTTATTTCTATTTAGTACACGACTGCAGAACCCAAGCGTTTTAAAAATTGGGACCTATTTGGTTAACTTCTTGTCGACTCTCAAGACAGATAAAATGTAAGCTGTTTATATTTTATGTGGAAAATGAATAAAACGTTATGAAAATAAAAAGCCAGATTTATTTCATCCTGCAGATTACCAATACATAATTGTTAACTTGTTCATATCTCATCTACTTCTGTATTTTAACAATTAATAGTTTACGTACGAGTGTTTGAATCACAAGTCCAACAATTATAGTTGGATGTTTTAAACCTTCCACCTCAAATATGAAATGTTTTTGTAACGATATTTGCAAACGTGTTAAGGCTGTTTAAAATTTAAGTATCTAGTGGATGAGTGCACTAAAATGAATCATTCAGGTAAAAAGATTTATTTATGTATAAAGAAGAAATTGAGTGGCATTTATTAGATAGTTAAAAGGTCAACTGTGTAGGTTGCAAGGACTACTAAAATAATAAACAAATGATTTAGCTGTATTAGTCTAGGCATATTAGGAAAGTTAGCGGAAAGTTTAGGTACAGTCCTAATCACAATTTTTCTTTATGTTTTTTGGGTCGCTGAACACGAATATGAGGTTTGCTGACAGATATTATGCCCGGAAAATTGTTTATTTTGTGAAAAACCATAAAGTTTGGGCACTTTTTTATGTTTTTGGGATGAATCTCGGTAATTATGAGTTTTTGAGAAGACTCTGCTTTGTAAAATTAAAGAGAACAAAATTGACTACAAGTTTTGTATATAATATTTGTTTCTACGACGAACCGTTACACGCCACTAGAGCACACTAAAAAAGGCCAGAAGTACCAAAAATGAAAATAAACGCTAACCGTTTTATATTAGGTGTCCATGGAAACAACCCATGTTACGATAATTTTAACTATTTATTCATGATAATGAACTGAAACACACTTGATAAATCTGCGCCAATATGTATGAATGGCTGCAGGAACATTTCCCGTTTCCACAAAACCCCCATTTATTTTCTATCAGCGCAGGAGTTGTTGCTCACCACAGGGTTGACTGCTATAGTGCTTGAGAAAAAAGGATGAAAGACATTGAAAGAGTAACTTCAAGAACGTAAAGTAGAAAAACTTAAAACTTTGGTAACGTCAAATTCAGACGAGGAGACCGAGTCCAGCCACTTGCCATAATGAATAACGCGATGAAAGTAGAGAATTCTTACCCGTAAACCCCACCACAACGTAACAACGCACGTTTCAACGAATCAGCGTCGCTAAGAATTCTGTTGAATAACTAGAACACTTCATCTCCTACGACCTGGGTCTATACTCTTTCTCGTCGTTTGATAATAACGGTTTGCGCAAAAGAACCAAATCAAATCTTTATATGCCTAAAGCCCCCATTGCAAACAAGCACTTCCATGGGCATGTGCAGTGTTATTGATGGTGGGTTCCTACTACACAAAAGTGTATGGCCAGAACATCAACCTTTCTATAAAAAATATAGGTCTAACAGTACATGGACAACATTATAACCAAATATAGGGCTCAGACAAGTTGGTTTTGACGGCTACACGCTGAACACACGCAAGGTGGAAAAAAAAGTTCCAAACGACTGAAAAGAGCAATAAAAACTACTTCTGCAGACATTCTCTTTGATGAAACTATGACCCCAGCCACAACGAAAGAAAAAATCTCCTAGCCAACCCTAATAACAAGGAAAGACTGATTTTCATGATAACAAGTAAGATCATCTCTGGAAACAACATCTGAAGATGGGGACACATTGATAATGACAGAAGCGCTGTCGTTGGCTAGTACTAATGAGAACGTTGTCGTTGTTGGAGAGGATGTTGACTTATTGATTATTCTAATCAGTTTGTGTAAGGAAAAAAGTTTTCTTCTTAAAGCCAGGAAAAGGGAAACCTTAATCAACAACATACTCTCCACTCCTTTCTGTAAAGAACAAAACTGTAGCTGAGAATATTCTATGATAAACTTGGTCCTCAGTTTCTTACCCTTGAGGAAGCCTTAGAAGCAAATGAGAATGTGGAAAGATGAAGATGTTTTTTCTCTCCTCTTAGGCCCACCAAAAAAAGGATGGATGAAACCCGAAGAGAGTGAATTGCATGATCCTGCCAACCAACCTATTGCTATATATGAGGTTATTGCCATTAGGTATTGAAAAAAAAGATTGTCACCATTTTCTCAGATTTGATCTTAAAAGACAGATATTTCTTTCAGGTGGAGGCTTGTGTGGACACACTAGTTTGTTTATTTTCAAGTGTGTTACAGTTTTTTATCATGAGTAAATAGTTAAAATTATCGTGACATGGGTTGTTTCCATGGAAACCTAATGTAAAAATGGCAGCATTTAGCGTTTGTTACAAAGCAAGGTCTTCTCAAAAACCCATAATTACCGATATTTATCCCAAAAACCTAAAAAAGTGCCCAAAATTTAAGGGTTTTTACAAAATAAACAATGTTCCGGGCATAATATCTGTCAGCAAACCTCATATTCGTGTTCAGCGACCCAAAAAAAACATAAAGAAAAGTGGTGATTAGGACTGTACCTAAACTTTCCTCTAACTGCCACTTATATTCCTAATATGCCTAGCCTATATGGGCTATTAATTAACAGCTGTGTCTAAGGAATATGTCGGCCTTAGTCTCTAACAAGATTACAAGATCGATCCACTCATTCTACACTCATCTCCATTCATCTGTGGCTTAAAATACCTACTTTGCACGGTCACCATTTCATTGAAAAGTATAAAAGTGAAGTATTAATGTATAAAATCATATTTTTTTAAGCCTCCAAAATGCATTAGTTTATATCACGATTCAGCTAATAACTTAGTTGTTATTTAGTACTGTATTTGCCAAATTAATGAGTACTGAAGTTTTTTATATTTCATCGATTTCTGTACTCGTTATTTTCTTACATACAGTAATAAAAAAAAATATTTTTAGGTATATTAATAAAAGATTATTTGATATTGCATTTTTTCCACATTTATAAGTACGGGAAGGTGTAAATGATACTTTTCTACTCATCGTATTCAATATTCATACCTTGTAAATTCGTTAAAACAATTATTAGAGAGAATATAACTTAGTTGGGAACTAACATTTTACTAACCACTTATAACCTTCAAAACGAAGTTGGTACTGGTGTAGAATATCGAATCAGCATAAAAAAGTGTCTTAGCGGTTTAAAATAGAATGCTGGTTAAAACTAACAAGGCCAGGGTTAACAGGTATTATACAGAACCCCGTGAAACAAACAAAAACAAAATTACTATATGAAAGTAAAACATAATTGCACTTAATTTTGCACTTTGATAACATGATGACTTTTACAATTTAGACCAAAAAATATGTTTTTAAAAATTACTAAGTAGTAAGTGTAGGTTGTAAGCTATCAATATACTTTTTATCTCTAAACTAAATGAATCTGAACTAAAATGTTCAGAATGAAAATTAACAAAATTAATATCTTTTATTTTATTTAACTGTCTGATTGTAATACTGATTTTGAACAAAATGTGTTTTACCACTTTGACTCATGGAACCTATACACTAAAAGTGTTAAGAACCAGAAAATATATTGTATGTTTTTTAACAAAAAGTTATTTAACAGTCAATTTCTCTTAGTACTAGCTAGTGTACCCGTGCTTCGGATCGAGAAGGACTCTGGAGAGAAAAGTTTCGTCTCTTAAATTTGGGGAAATTGCTAATCTACGTTTCTGCCACTTGAAACTAAAATCCATTAGACCTTTTTATGAAAATCTGTCTAAAAGCTAGCAATTTCTAAGAAAGACTTTAAGATAGCATTTAAGGTTCCCTATGTTTTTTTCCACACCTTTACATCCTACGACGCTAGTTCTACCCCGGAACAGACATATAAGTGTCCGTGGTAGGAATTTTATAAGGTGCAGATGCATGATTTATGAAAATACAGTACCAATGTGATTTATATTTTAATCTCCCTCTGCAATTTTGAGCAAATTAATTAAATACATTAAAGGTACGATCGTCTGGGTATCTGAGTGGTTATAGTGCTCGCCTTAAAATCTAAAGGAAGCAGGTTCAATTTTAAGCAAGATTCTAGACCCAAGGGACATTATAATAAGGTTATCAATCTATGATTTGATTCAAGCATTGGGGAACGTTTGATAATAACGAGACCAGGTTTGGCTCATTTCCTTTACAAAGGAATTTACAAAGTATTTCACTTTTAGATTTAAGAAGTAGACTTCAAGATAAGTGATTTTACAATCACTTACTTTGTGTTTTTCTGTTTAGGATTTAATGAAGACACATTTTGTATTTTCTTGTTTTATTTTCTTAACTCAATATGTTACATGCACACCTTAAACTGCGTCACATTTTCGAGTTAACTCCCATCACTTACTGGCCCCTGTTGTGTTGGGTTTGGCAACCGTGTACTAAACAAAAATAAGAAGAGTATTAGTTTCGTTATATATTGGATATCTATGTGGTATTGTAACTAATAAATATATATCAAGTTCCCATTGTTTTTAGCAATATCTTTATTTGTGTTCGTGCCTTTTAGCGTCTGTAACTTAAAAAAATAAACTTTTTGAAAGGGGTGATTGAATTTTACAAGATTGAACCATTTTAGCACTTAAATCAAATAAAACAAATTGAGAACAGTATTCGGAGCATCAGTAAAAGATCCTTAAAGCGTACTCTTCCACTTTTTTGAACGCTACTATATAAGAAACGTTTTAACGTCTTGTCCATGTATTTCTGTCTTTCCTAATAGTAAAACTTGATGCAACATGTTCGAGCCGTGTCAAAAATACAAATTATTGCAAACAATCAATCCACTAGTAAATTATTATTCAAAAATCAATTACTTATTATATAAAATGCGTATTAAGTCCCTTCCTTTTGACAAAAATAACCCTGTCCATTGTAAAATAACGATGACAAGGATCGTGTAATGTGCATTCTAGTAAATTACCTTTTAATGTGGTAAATTACCCCAACAATCAACCAGAGGTTAAATTTTGTATATAGTATATCCACAAGAGCACTGTTTCTATTTACTAAAAATTCTAGATCCGTAGGAAAAAACCCGTTTCCGAAACTTATATAGAAAATGTATCTAAATCTAGTCAATGACCAGAACAGTAACTACCCATATTTTCATCCAGAAAATGACATGTTCTTTGAATAAGTTTGTTATGGTTTTGACCATAAAACAAGTACAGAGTTGTATTCTAACATAATTATTGGGAATTGAAATAAATGCACTTTAGTTCTTAACAATAATTAAATACCAGTGACAAAATTACAACCAACTATGTTTTTTAGGAGACGCCATAGTAGGAAACTTGAAAATGAACTGGTTAAAACACTATGTTTGGTTATGTTGTATAAGGATAAGGCAATTTTTTTTTAAACCAGTGAGGAAGTAGATTTCAATCAGGCTCCGAAGTTACTTTTAATACCCGGTACAAGTGTACTAACTAGTCAAAAAAGATAGCCGAATTTGTTGTTTTAATACAAATCGTCCATCCACTGGCGGCGAGGTGGCTATTTAGTGATGCACTCACTTTATAACAGATCATTGACAAAATTTAAGGTTATGTTTATCAACGTTGTCAATTACTAAAATGAACTACGGCAAAAAGTAAGTACATATGGTCAAATGTAGTGTTGCCAGTTTTAACTTTCATACTTACATCTACAAGTGCCAGAAAGGTAGCAACTGCCACGATGAAAGCTGATGCAAAAGTCATCTGAAACAAAACTTTTACTGTTATTATTATAACAATTATTAATTTTACTAGGCCTTTTTACATATTTACCAAATGAGGTGAGTTTTTATTTAATTTTTAACGCCCAAGGTGGTAAAAGCTTACGTGTAATGCTAAAAATATAGAAAAAGTAATTATTGACTAAAATCTTAAACATACAAGACACTTTAAAAACGACCGATGATGGCTAGGACATGCGTAAAATAACGCTTGCAATGTAGGCCTATATTTAAAAGCAATGTTAATGAGACTTATTACTTAAGTATTTTACGATATATTTCTATTAACATTTTTGAACTATTTTATATAAAATTGTTAAAAAAAATATTTGACTAGGGAATTATTGAAAAATATGTTATGAACAAGAGTCCTTATACAGATTTCATCCAAGTTTCTTCAAATCCAAAAACACAGATCGTGAATACCGCTTGAAACAAATCAACAACTGACATTTGGTTACAATAAGAATTAATAAAATGAAGTAATTAAAATCTTAAAAATATATTAAGTTTTTAACAATACACATTAACTAGGGATACATAATATCAGATAGATTTTATGTAAAGACATTTTAGTCTCTTAATATAAGTGTAGACGTAAAATATGACGTTTGAGTTTGATGTTAAACTTATTATTAACTGACATGACAGTTTAAGGTAATAAACCGCTATTAGGAACTATAGTAATACAACTTAGATATAAGAATGCTATACATGTTATTTATGGAATCAAGGAGTGTCACAATAAATGTTATAGTGGTTATTCAGTATTACCTTTACTGCTGTTAACGATTCTTGGAGCTCACGGTTGAAAGTGATATATATTCTCTGGTCGTTGAAATGTTTATATACCTTACTCCAATGTCATAAAACATATCAGGTCAGTCAATCGGAAATAATTGGTAATAAGAAGTAAAACTGCGTTTACTGTAAATTAAAATCAAAGCGTTTGCATTTATTGTTTTCGGTTTTAAACTTTTAACAAAAGCTAATTGAAAACTATGTCCAATTATTTCCGATTGACTCACCTGATATGTTTTATGGCATTGTAAAAAGGTATATAAACATTTCAATGGACAGTGAGTATATATCACTTTCAACCGTGAGCTCAAAGAATCTTCAACAAAAGTAAAGGTAGTACTGAATAGAATAACTAATATAACATTTATTTCTACACTCCTTGATGGCAATCTTACTAACATGTCTAGCAGTCTCATATCCAAATAAGTTTGTTATGTTACGGTTCTTCCTAATAGTTTATTACCTTTAACTTTCAATTAAATAAATAACAAAATTAACATCAAACACAAACGTAAAATGTTAGGATGACACTTCATTCGATTTCACTAATTTTTTTTACATAAAATCTAACTAATATTATATATCTCCATTAATGTTTATTGAAAACTTTATATTTTTATTATTTTGATAACTTTTTATATTCTTATATTTTTTTGTTTTCATTATATATTCAAATTATAGCTAATTTTGTTTTATTTATAGTGCTTTTCAGGATAATTGTTTTTGGATTTGAAGATACTTTGTTGAAATTTTTTTTAGATTCTTTTGTTCATAACATTATGTGGACTTTTTCACAAGGGAAACGTTTTGAAAATTATTAGGTTTAATGATAAACCCGTTTTAGAAGATTATAGGACAAATTATTATAAAAATATTAAAATACCATACCATTAAATGCTTTAGGCATAAGTGTCATTAGATTTGCTTTTATATATACACTAGCAGAGTAACCATCCTTCGTATGGGGTTGGCATTTGGCATATAAGTATAATTGCAATTTTTTTACAATGGGGAAGGACAAATTCTGATAACATTTTCTTCTCTTAATTTAGGGTATAATTCAAAGTATATGTTTTACACATCTACCATTGACATAATGTTCTACCACTAAAATAAATTATTGAAAATTCGCAAAATATCACAAATTATTCATGAAATTAAAAAAATAATCATACCTGTAATCAATCCTTCTTTGACAGTTCTCATTGCGTATCACAGTTTTTTGTTTCTGCTTAGATCAAATTTTCACAAATGCTAAAAATCATTTACTTCACCCTGTTGGTAAGTCTTAAAACTTTTAAATGATTTTGCATGTCATAGAACAAACCTTTTTATTTGAAACAGCTGACTAAATTATTTTATTCCCTTTAAATATGAATTCTCATAAGGTTAACATGGGGAACTACAGAGCCACTGGGACGGAGCCCGAAAGGATTTTTGAGATAAGAATATGCCTATATGTTAATCAGAAATGTAAGCTATCATTATGCCAAATTTCAGCCCAATCCGTCCACTAGTTAATGCGTGATTGAACTTCAAACGAACACACAAACTTTCACATTTATAATATTAGTAAGATTACAAGCACCATATTATAAAGTATGTCCTAGATATCATCGATAAAAGAACTACTAGTGTCGTCTGTGTTAAAATTTTAGCAAAAAAGAATATCTTTTTCTTATTCTTAGCATTATACACAGAATGTTTCACTCTAAGCCGGTAAATAATAAAATAAATATTTACCCTACTTTTGTAAAAAATAAAAAATGTCTTAAAATAATTATTATTATAGTGTAATAGTAAAGGTTTTCTTTCAGATGACTTTTACATCAGCTTTCATCGTGGCAGTTGCTACCTTTCTGGCACTTGTAGATGTAAGTATGGAAGTTAAAACTGTTAACACTTCATTTGACCATATGTACCTACTTTTTGCTGTAGTTCACTTAGAGTGAGTGCATCAGTGAATAATTAACCTGTCCCTAATGAATGCCAGTTTCATATGAAAAACATAATATTTGGCTTTCTTTTTTCTGGTTTGTACTTAAAAGTTAAATGCTGTTGTGGTTGGGTATTAAAAAAGTTAAGTTGTGGTTGGGTATTAAAAGTACCTTTGGAGCCTGGTTTAAATCTACTACCTCACTGGTTCAACAAAAAAAATTCTTTATCTTTTTGTAACATAGCCAAATATAGTGTTTCAACCAGTTCATCGTCGAGTTTCCCACTATGGCGTCTCGTACACACATAGTTGGTTGTAGTTTTCTTGCTGATATTTAATTATTTTTTAAAACTAAAGTACATTAATTTCAATTCCCAATAAATATGTTAGAGTACAACTCTGTACTCGTTTTATGGTCAAAATCATAACAAACTTATTCAGAGAACTGGTCATTTTCTGCATGAAAATATGGGTATTACTGTTCTGGTCATTAACTAGATTTCTATCAAATATTTGGAAATGTTTTTTTCTTATGGATCTAACATTTTCTAGAAAACATAAACAGTGCTCATGTGTATATACTATATAAAAATATTTGCAGGTTGATTGTTAGGTAATTTACCACATTAAATGGTAATTTACTAGAATGTACATTAAACGATTCTGAAATCTTTATTAAATAATATACGGGATTCCCAGTTTCACAGTTAAGGCTTCCAACACTTTGTTTGAACATTATACATTCAATTTTATCATAAGAAAGGAAAGGAAAATACGGAAAAGACGTTAAACCTATTCCCTACAATGTATCCTACTTTTTCGTATTAGATTCAAGGTTGGAAAATCACGCTGAAGAGGTTATGTACTCATGCTCTTACCCTACAAGTTGAAATGTTTTTAACTTATACTATTCTCAATGCGCTTCATTTTACTTAAGTGCTCAAATGCTTCAATCTTGTAAAATGTAATCACCCCTTTCAAAGAGTTTAATTTGATAAGTTACAGACGCTAAAAGGCACGAACACAAAAAAATATTGCTAATAACAATGGGAACTTGATACACGTGTATTAGTATACAATACCAAATAGATTTCCAATATACAATTAAATTAATACTGTTCTTGATTTGTTTAGTACACGGTCGCCAAACCCAAAACAGGACTAACAGGGACCAGTAAGTAATGGAAGTCAACTCTAAAATGTGACGCAGCTTAAGGTGTACATGCTTTATAATTATTAAAAATAAATAAAACAAGAAAATACCAAATGTTTCTTCATTCATTTCCAAACAAAAAAGAATAAACTAGGTGAATTTCAAATCACTTATTTCCACGTGAATGTCTACTTCTGTGATCTAAAAGTAAAATACTTCGTACATTCTTATGTAAAGGAAATGAGCCAAACCTGGTCTTGGTACTATCAGACGTCCACCTTTGGTTGGATAAACCATTAGTTTGATAGTCTTATGATAAATTTCCCTTGAGTCCAGAATAATTATTTTTTTTTATTCAATCAGCATCATATTGATTTGAATTCGAGCACAATAACCACTCAGATACCCAGATGATTCTTCCTTTCATTTGTAAGGCCGTAAAACCCAGAGGTCCTTATCTCAATCCAGTATAAAATGGCGGCCGTTCTTAGTTTTCTGGCATTACATTTTTAAAATTTTTTAGCTACCCCAATGCCTCTATTATGCTTTATTTTATATTCCCAGGGGAAATTGTGATAAATACTAAAAAGTCAACTGCTTTTCTTATGAACTGATAAGCTTCCCCAGTAAAACCTGATAAAAGCTATTAACCTGATTGCAGAGGGAATATTAATGACATTTTTGTGGAATCTCTGAGGTTAATGAAATAAAAATCGCTGCCATTTTGTATTTCCACCTCTAGTTTTATTATTTTAAACTAATTGCCTTCATAATGAGGTGTCACTTGATGGGGCATTATGCTTAATCATTTTTAACTGGCTCCAAAATACTAAATTGTAGTGTCCCAGGCAAAACTGTCATACCAACCAACAGTTTTTTTTTTAGTTTATTATTATGGTAATAGTGAGTTTAGTTTTCTATGGGGTACAACCCCATAGAATAACTGAATTTTTATCATTTATCTATTATCATTACTTTCTTTTTTCTTACTAGGTTTTTCTCTTTTTTCTACACCTTTTAGATATGTCCATAATGTTTACGTTATCTGTGTTGGCTTCCCAGTAAAAATTGTTTTTCCCTTTTGTAAATAAGCAATTAGTATGTAGAGTAATAATTATTATAACGGTGTTAGATTATAGATTGTAGAATATGGATGGACTGATTAACTCGTTCCCCTCGTACAGACTTCGCCTATGTGGGGAGGATCCATTTTTGTTAGAATTACTGGTTGTATATTTTGATTCATGGAATAAATTATGTTTGATTAGATTTTACCCATAGAACCGTCAATATTGAACCGGGGATATTGATATACATTTTTACATAGAGTCTCTCGGGCTAGTGAAAAATTAAAATGGCCGCCATTCTGTGAAGGGCTGAGATAAATACCAATAGTTTTCGCTAATATTCTTTTAAACTGATGGCCTTTAAAATAATGTGTAACGTTTTGGAGATTTAATGTATCACTTAATAGAGCTTTACATTAAAATTTTTTTACCTGCCCAAAAAAAACATGTTGGGTTTTCAGACAAATTTGGGCGCATAAATGTGGCACTCACAGATATTCAAAAGATTTATTGTTAACAAAAAATGTATTTTCTATCCATAAAACCAGAACTTCCTGGTACGGAACAGTTACGGTATTTAGTGTTTGGAGAGTGGAAGACAAAGAAAACACACTTAGGGTTCAAAACACCAAGTAGTCGCAGAACAAAAAGAAAATCTTCAGTGAAGGAATTAGGAGTGAATAGGTTTTCAATAGGACGTTACAAACAGAAACCCAACAAAGCTTCAAAAGTGGATCTTAGTAGTGATGAACCCAGAAAGACATGACACTTTAGGCACGTTTTCCCCATAAGAATAACATGGTGAGCTTTTTTTGACCACTTTTTTAAAAATCCAGCTCTCGGCCAATATACTCCTATATAAATGTTCAATACCGTTGTATAACTTCATTACTATTTCAAATCCACATCCATTCACATGTATATTCTCAAAATCATCAACTTGACAGTGCGAGGTTTGTGCGTAAACCATCGATATATAACTACTGCGTAAACTCGGGCATGCTGCTGGCCTTGAGTGCGACCGGTCTTCTCACTTTCAACAGCGACACTAACAACACATCAAGGCTACTTCGGGTACCTCCGCCAAGGTTCGGTGAACCCCACACGACCAAGCGACGAAGCGTCCACACCACTGCAATTAATTATGCAGACAGCTCACTCCCAGACATTCTATTCAATGTCGAGAGGGGGGGAAAGAGAGAGAGAGAACGCGGCGCGGGAGAGAGTGGTGACACATGTCTAGACAGGTCCTTGGCGCCAGACACATTGACCTGATTGATGTGATGACAGGTGACAGGTGTCAAATTAAATTTGTACTTTCATATTTTAATTTTCTCCAGAAATTGTTAAAATAAATTTTACAAATACACTGCAATTGTTAAAAATTATTTTATGAATTGTAAAGAATTCACTCGCTGGGAATTATATAAAAAGGCGGGGAAAACCGGTTCCTTCAGTCAGTCCCCTTCCGTCGCAGCGCAGCCATCTTGATCTCTCTCCTCTGGTAAGTTTTTTGCACATGCGGGGCTGGGCTAGTGGAAGGCGTCGGCGCCAAGGACCTGTCTAGACATCCTACGCCGCCACGCCCCTGTCTTGGTAGCGAATAGAATGTCTGGGAGTGAGCTGTCTGCATAATTAGTTGCAGTGGTATGGACGCTTCCTCGCTTGGTCGTGTGGAAATGACAGTTAGGTGACTGCCTGTCTGTGTATTTATTATTTGAAACTTAGAGTATTTCTCAAAAGACTTGTGACAGTGAAACTTAAACATTAAAGTCCTAATTTTTGAACTTAGAACAATTTTACAGGATTTTTCTTTAAAACTTACATTTATTTTTCTCTTATGACACTTGGTCATTTTTGTATAACTTCCACTATGTAAAAATTTAACAAGTCCTGATTTTTATACACTTAGCTGAATTTCACTCACTGAGGTAACATAGGTAGTTTTCTCTATAGCACACACTGTATAAATGTAGACTCAGCATTCTGAATTGCTAAAAAGTATTTTTTATTTACAAATTTAACTTTTAAGATTTAGTTTTGATTTTGAAAATTGCAATTGTCAAATCTTATTGTATAAAATTGTTTTGAATATTAACATTTAAAATTCTGATTTAAATTATTATTTCTCACTAATTTAAATTGTCAAAATGTAATTTCAACTATATAGAAGATGCCAACCTAGGTTTTTAGATACATATATAAAATGAAGACTACATGTCAACATTGTTCCACATCGCTCTCCAAAAAAAGTAACCTGATTCGCCACTACAAGTTAAAACATCAAATGAAGGTAAAACTGTGCAAAGTTTGTAATTTAATCTGTGATAGTAACATTGCTCTAAAATCACATATATTACAAAGTCACAAGAGTTGTAGTTTTTGTAAGAAAAATATTGTTGGACATTTTAGAAGACATGTCAATTCTTGTATCAAATGTCCATACACAATGATTAAATTTGTTGGTGAATCGATTAGAGCTGACCTTGAAAATACTCTGAAGTCTTGTCCTCTTCCGATAAAATGGACGTTAGTTAGGAGAATCAAATTTATAAAATATTCAATGGATCAAAATGGAAAATTAGTTAATGAGAAAGATTGTATTGCGGATTTTAGAAGCCTTACTACCTTAACTATTGAGAAGAGAGATTTAAAGCCTCAAATTGAAAAAGCACTTTTAAAGATTGATGCTTCCACACACAAATATCAAGCCCAAGGCAGTGGATAGATATATGACCATACTAAATATTGGCAGTTGCACGTTTACAAGTATAAACCCCTAACTCCAAAGTCATATATCCCCACACCAAAAAGTATTCAATCAAAACATGCAGTTCTAAATATCAAAAATTCAGACAATAAATGCTTCCTTTGGTCAATTTTAGCAGCTTTATATCCAATGAATAATTCACATCAAAATGTTAAAAGAGTCCCTAGCTATGCACCCTATGAAAGTCAGTTGAACATGACAAATATAAAATATCCTGTGAAATTAGCTGATATAGATAAATTTGAAACCCAGAATAATATAAGTGTTAATGTATTTGGGGTTGAAGACCAGAAATTTATTTATCCTTTAAGAACAACCAAAATCAATAGTAATACTCATATAGATTTATTATTATTACAAGAAGGTCGTAAATCACATTACAGTTTAATTCGTGATTTTGATAGGTTAATGCTACGGTCTACAAAAGATAACAATAAGAAGTATTTTTGCAAGTTGTGTTTACAACATTTTTACACTAATGATATATTAGAACGTCATATAACATATTGTAAAAACTTTGATGCCCAACGAGTGGAAATGTCTAAACAAGATACATTACAATTTAAAAATTATAAATATCAACTTAAAGCCCCATTTGTAATTTATGCTGATTTTGAGTGCTTTATAAACTCAAACAACCATACTCCATCTGGATTTGCATTTGTCGTAGTGAGAGATTCTAAGATTATTTCTGAAGAGTTATATAGTGGTGCAAATGTTATGGATGTGTTTTTCGAAAGATTATTTCAGACTTATTATTTTATTAAAAGTCAAATGGCGATATATATTCCCCTAGTAATGACTCCAGAGCAAGAGGTATCTTTCAAAAACTCAACACATTGTCATATTTGTGAAAAGCCCCTATATTTTGATAGGGTACGTGATCACTGTCATTCATCTGGCCAATACCGTGGAGCTGCCCACAATGATTGTAATTTAAACTATAAAGTAACAAAGAAAATCCCAGTATTCTTCCATAACTTGAAAAATTACGATGGACATTTAATAATGCAACACTTGGGAAAGTTTAATGATTGTAAATTAAATTGCATAGCTAAAGATATGGAAAAATATATATCATTCTCTGTTGATGATTTAGTATTTTTAGATTCATACAACTTTCTGTCCCTTCCATCATACAAATTAGCTTCCAATTTGAACACATTTAGATTCATACATAATCCACTACTACAACGTAAAGGTGTATATCCGTATGAATATATGACGGGACCAGATAAGTTTGCAGAGTCTCTACCGCCAATTGAATCATTCTATAG